TTTGCTTTAGACCATCTATTAATGTTAAATCCACAAATAAAATGTTAAGGTTTCAACTACATCTGTTTAAAAAAAAAAAAAAAAACACAGCAAAAATTTTTATACAGTTTACAGATGCACATAAACAGTTTATATGTATGAGATTTTGTTTGTATATTGATTTACTATAATAGTTTTTGTTAATATTTTGAATTCGATTCCATTTTAATATTTTCTGTTTCCACTTTAAGTTTTTTAAATTAGTCTTGTATGTTTTGTCATTTTTATTAGTTTTTTTGAATGTCTGTATAATTTTTATTAATTTTTATTTATTAATTTTAGTTTGTTTAATTTTAGTTATTTTAGTACTAACTAAATGAAAACGAGAAACATTAACATTTATTTTAATGTTTATTTTATTTCAAGTAGTGAAATATTTTTATGGCTTTAATTTTAGTTAGCTATAATAACTTACAGGTTATTATACAAGTTTCCAGCTTTATTTGCACATTTATACGATTATATTTCTCCCCTGAAATCATTTATAATGTTAATCAAAGCTTATTGCACCCAAAACAGTCAGAAGTTAGTTTTTGTGATATTCCTGATTGATTTGCTCTTTAACACGAATAGTAAATGTTGTGTAAATATGGCTGTATAGTTTGTGTAGTTCAGTCAGAGAGTTAACTCAGCGTGTGTGTGTGTATAAATAAACCAACAGGGTTAATATTGTTAATTAAAACAAAGATTATTAAAATATTTTTTCTTAATTGAAATAAAAGCTTTAATGAAAAAAAAGTAATATTAGATGAAAGTAACATTAATACTAAGTGTTAAAATTTTAAAGTAAAGTGAATTAAGTAAAAATTAAAAGTAACATTAGAAAAAAATAATAATAAACGAAAACCAGAAATGTTGCCTTGACAACTAACTGAGACCAGTTTAAGTTGAAATAATAAAATAAATAAAAACTGAAGTAAAAACTAAAACTGAAATAAAAATAAAATTAAAATGTTTAAAACCTAAACAGTAAACAAAACTTTAAAAAAACTTTTAAAAAAATGACAAAAGCACATGAAATAATTTGAATGAAAACTGAAAATATAAGAGGAAAAGCTCATTCAAAATATTATTAAAATTATAATAGTGAATATCATGAAAACACAGAAAAACAAAATATACCCATTGACATCATGTTATAGGAAAAATATTTCCAAATTTTTGAGTTTGTTGTGTGTGAACATGCCTCCAAGCTCCAAACACACAGCTCGTCCTCATGGGGTGTGTGTGTGCCATAAGCACATCTCATTACAGACATACTGTTTGTGTCCGCTGGGAAACCATGTGTGTGTGTGTGTTGTTCTGTGGGGACAGTTTCACATTATCATCACTCTTGGTCTCATTAAAAGTTGAAAAGTTAACTACTTACTCAAACATAACATACAGAACTTCCTGTTTCTATGATCTAAAAATACTGAAGCATGACATTAGACCTTATAAAACCGCTGAACCATAATGAAAATGCACAGCAGACTGCAGTATGTGTGTCAGTGAAGCGCTCAGCATTACCGAACACATCCTGGGATTCAATTAAAATTATGTTTGAAATCATGCTTGATGTCACATTGAAACAGAAGGTCAAGTTGAGTGCACTGCATTGTGGGATACAGTACACAGTGTGCTTTAGTTGAATACTATGGAAGCATGCTTCTGTCACCGGAATTTTTTCTGCCTCAGAGTTTTTCTCTCAGAATCTACAGCTATAAATTAAAAAATGCAAGAAAAATTGTGAGATGTAAACTCAGAATTGTGAGAAAAGTCAGAATTGTGAGATTGTGAGATGAGAAAAACAATTCCAAGACGTAAACTCAGAATTGCAAGAAAAAAGTCAGAATTGCGAGAAAAAAATTGCAAGACGTAAACTCAGAATTGCAAAGAAAAAAAAATCTGAATTGCAAGAAAAGACAGAACTGCAAGATATAAACGTAGAATAAACAGTAAACAAAACTTAAAAAAAACTAAAAAAAAATGACAAAAGCACATGAAATAATTTGAATGAAAACTGAAAATATAAGAGGAAAAGCTAATTCAAAATATTATTAAAATTATAATAGTGAATATCATGAAAACACAGAAAAACTAAATATACCCATTGACATCATGTTATAGGAAAAATATTTCCAAATTTTTGAGTTTGTTGTGTGTGAACATGCCTTCAAGCTCCAAACACACAGCTCGTCCTCATGGGGTGTGTGTGTGCCATAAGCACTTGATGAGGTCCTGGTCTGTGGTTCCAGGTGGAAGTCCTCGTATGTACAGGTTGGTTTTACTGAGCTGCACCAATGCACTCTGACTACAGCTTCCTGGACTGGGTGGGGCCATCAGCTGAGGGGGCGGGGCATATGGCTGTTAGACAGAGAGAGGGCGTGGTTAACCTGAAGGTTCTAAAGAATATTAGTGTGTTCCACTTAAAGCGGCGCTGCACAGACCAATCGGTGTATGACAAAGTAAATAAATAAAATAAATAAATAAAAGTTCACATTTAATGCCATTTTATATTCATTTACCTTTATATTTATTCATTCATTCAGCAGACTTGTACGACTATACAAAAGGCAAACGTCCAAAGCCATTCATCTTACTTTGTGCAACACAGGGTTATTATTGATAACTATAATAAAAACGATTAAAAACACTTCTGATAATTAAAATAAATCTGAAAATAAATGAATGAATAAATAAAAAACAAATATTGATGGAAAAATTAAATAAAGATATTATATAGAAATAAAATATATAGAAATATTGCCTTGGCAACTAACTGAAATACATTTAAGTTGAAGCAATACAATTCGGAAATAAAAACTTATACTGTACTAAAATTGAAATAAAAATAAATGGTTAAATGTATACATATATTTTACACAAAATAATTACTAAAACTTTAAACAATATACAAAAATTCTTAATGATACTGAAAAAACTCTGATATATAATGCTAAAATAGCACTGGTGCAGCAGGGTTGTGGGCAAAAATATGACAATATTCTGCATGTTAAATTGTGAAGAGTGTTTCTGGATCAGACAGCAGTATGAGTTACAAACGCATCCAGACTGAACTAGACTTCTTCACCCGATTCCTGTGTCTCTGTCTCTCTCCCACGATCCTTTGCTCTCTCTTGGCTGCCGTCTGTCTGCAGGAATGTGAACGTCCCACCCTTGTGATCAGCTTTGTTTTAAAGGTCAGGAGTTTTACACAGTGAGGCAGAAAGCATCAAACCGCACACTTTACTCGCCAGTCGCCACATGCTGAAACATGCAAAACGCACGCAGAATAAACCACATGCTGCTGAGGGAGGAAAAGAGATGATAAATGTCCTTCTGTGAGACGTCCATGTGTCTCAGTCTGTCAGGAGAGGACAGTGAAGCTGAGACACTATGAAACAGAAGAACAAGCAGCAGTAATGTCACATAGTCATACTTGTGATCTGCTCCACAAGCTTATGCTGACCAATTAGACAGGAAGAGACCGTTTGATTACATGCAAATCAGAGCAAACGGAAAGAAATACAGTGTCAACCACTAATATTGGCACCCTTGCTAAATGTAAGCAAAGGTGGCTGTGAAAATAAATCGGCATCATTTATCTTTTTGATCTTTCATTCAAAAAATTCACAAAATTCTAACCTTTCATTGAAGTGAAACAATTGAAATTGGGGGGAAACTCACATTATGAAATAAATGTTTTTCTCCAATGCTTGTTTGCCACAATTATTGGCACCCCTAGAAATTCTTATGTGTAAAATATCTCTGAAGTATATTCCCATTCATATTTACAATTTTTTTAGCACACCAGGGTGACTAGGAGCATGACTTCCTGTTCCACAGGATTATAAATAGAAGAACACAAAGGCCAAATTCCCTTAATCATCCATCACAAAGAGTAAAACCAAAGAATATAGTGCAGAACAAGATTGCTGAGCTTCACAAAATAGAAAGTGGCTGTAAGAAAATAGCTAAAGCATTTAAAATCCCAATTTCTACCATCAGGGCAATAATTAAGAAGTTCCAATCAACTAAAGATATTACAAATGTGCCTGGAAGAAGACGCGTGTCTATATTTTCCTGATGCACGGTGAGGAGGAGAGTTTGAGTGACCAAAGACTCTCAGAGGATCACAGCTGGAGAATCGCAGAGATTAGCTGAGTCTTGGGATTAGTTGAGTCCCTACATCACCATGTTGTTTGGGAAGGTTTCAAGAAAAACCCTCCTCGCTCATCCAAAAACAATCTCCAGCATATTCAGTTGTCAGACACGACTGGAACTTCGAACGGGACTGGCTTCTATGGTCAGATAGAAAAAAAAATAGCTTTTTTGGCAGCAAACCCACCAGATGGGTTTGGTGCAAACAGGGATAAAAAGTAGCCCATGCACACGGTTAAATATACTGCTGGATCTTTAATGTTGTGGGCCTGTTTTTCTGCCGGAGGTCCTGGACATCTTGTTCACATATTGGCATCATGGATCCTATCAAATACCAACAGATGAAAAATCTAAACCTGCCTGCCTCTGTTAGAAATCTTATAATGGACCATGTTTAGATCTTCCATCAGGACAATGATCCAAAACAAACATCAAAATCAACACTAAAATGTCTCACTGAGCACAAAATGAAGCTTCTGCCATGGCTTTCCCAGTTCCCTGACCTGAAACCTGTAGAAAATGAGTGAGGTGAACTGAAGAGAAGAAGCTGTGAATCTGAAGGATCTGGAGTGATTCTGGATGAAGGAATGCTCTCTGATCTCTTGTCATGTGTTCTCTAACCTCATCAGGCATTATAGGAGAAAACTCTGAGCTGTTATCTTTGGAAAAGGAGGATGCAATAATTGGGTGCCAATAATTGTGGCCAATGTGAACTAGAGAAAAACATTTATTTCATAATAAGATTTTCCCCTCACTTTCCATTGTTTTACTTTAATGATAGGTTAGAATTTTGTGAATTTTTTGAATGAAAGATCAAAAAGATAAACGATGCAGATTTATTTTCACAGCTGCCTTTGCTCATATTTACCAAGGGTGCCAATATTAGTGGTTGACACTGTATGTGCTAAACGCAACTTGCACATGTGCACAGAAATGCAGCCAGATAATGACTGAAAGACAGCGAGTGGTACAAATTTCACTGGATTCATGTTTCTTAGATGAAGCATAAGAATAAAAATAAATAAATAAATAACGGGAATTATTAATATTTTCATTGAAATCAAGATGACAAAAAAGGAAAAAAAGTTAAATAAATATAATAAAATAAAAAGAGTATGTATTTATTTATCTTCCACAAAGTTTAATAAAAAGAAAAAAAAAACGATTTAATTTTTTTTATTTTTTTATTTTTTTACACTGAATTCAAGGCAGGGTTATTATAGTTAACTAAAACTAAAACCATAAAAAACTATTTTATTTCAACTAGTTAACAAGGCAAATTTTCTCATTTTTATTTAGTTTAACTATATGTTCTAATATTTAAATATTAATAAAAACTATATACACATTTAAAAACAAAAAAGAAAATCTAAAAATAAAATCTAATTCAAAATATTAAAATCTATAATAGTATCTCGATGATACTAAAATAACACTGATTCAAGGTCCTTAGAAAAAAGCAAGTAAAGATATAAATAATAACAATAATTCAATATAATTCAATATTTATATTTATTTTTTTTATTACTATTTTTTTTTTTTCTTCACAGATTTAAGGTTCATATAAAAAAAAAAACAAGTTCAAAATAAGATAAAATAAAAAGTAAAAATAAAATGAAAAATGTATTCATCCAACCACAATCACAGCTGCCATGATCACTAATGAACATAAACATCCCTTCAGTTCAGCACTAGCTTTCTGTGGGTGGTAATAACACAACGTTAATTGCATCAGGCAAAGAAGAGAGTCACAGAGACTCTAAACACACATCCTTCATCTGCTCTCATTACAAACACAGATTCAATGAACAACGACGATATCACCCAGAGGACTCAGCATCATATATTAGGACAGACACGTGTGTGTGTGTGTGTGTGTGTGTGTGTGTGTCCTTGAGGCACAGACACACTTTAGTGTTTGTGTTTTCATGTTTAAACTCCATCAGTTGTGTTACTTTCTCACCTAAAGCTCAGAATTAAACCCCAGCTCATGACTAAATCCTGTTCAATATTAAGATTCATCCGCCTAGAAATGTAGTCCTACTTCTGAAACGAGTTACACAACTCTACAAATCAAATACTAAACATTGCATTCATAATTCAAGTCACAGATGCAGTACACAGAGCTGAAGACACACAGAACCTGAAATATTAAAGCTGCATCAACACCTGATAAAGAAACGAATCTAAACACAATCTGACCATCAAAACATGAACATCTGCTGTTGTGAGGTCGACTCGGTGTAAAGTCTCTGGTTTGTTTCCAGAGACTGAAATAAAGCATGATTTATTCTTTAACCGACAGACATTCAGAGCTCACAAACCAGTCAAACCTCCTCAGAACCTCACGGCTCAACTCAGTTTTGATTCAGAGTCAGAGAGTGGTTCCCAAATGATTCTTGATTCACCTCAATGTTTGTAGGAGTACAAATGAACATAAGGTGAGATTAAATGC